GGGGGCTGCGGCGGAGCTCGCGCGGCCCCGCCGTGGGCAGCGGCCCGCGCGGTGCTCAGGGGGCCCTCCCCGAGCACCTCCTCGTCCTGCGCAGCGCCCCGCGTGCCGAGCGCCGCCGCTGCCCTCCCTGCCCGCGCAGCCCGGCGCGGGCGGCAAAGCCGGGACAAGCCGCGGTGAAGTGCGCGGCACCACGCGCGGGGAGCGGCGCCGCGAAAATGCGGCCTTAGCGGCGGCTCGGGTTTCACCGATCCCCGGGGTTTTCAGAGGAGCTTCTGCTCCGCTGCTGCACGGCTGCTCTCCCTTAGTTGCTGCTACCAAATGCAATAACATGGAAAAGGGGGGTGCCAAGCAAATTCTCTGAACTGGGAGGATGGGGACGTGTATCGGGTTCTGTGTCTGCCGCGGGCACTATGTATTTGCACCAGCACGTGCCTGTGGTCCGTTTGTTGCAATATGCACAAACACGTCTCCTAGACTGCCTGCTGGTGCATCGTTAATTAGTAGAACCAGGCTGTTATATAATGTCTCATCAAAGGGAGAAAAGTGGCATAAGGGAGTCAAAAATAGTACCTCCTACTGGTAAAGGAGGAGATGGAGTGGAGGCGATTGCTCCTCCTGCTGCATCAAGGATTCATGCTTAGTGCATCCATTTGTCCTGTGCATGGCACCTCCAGCTACTCCAAGATTTGCAATGTCAAAAAATAGAGAAAACGAGGTGAGTTGCACCATGCCAAATAGGTGCAAAGAGACAGGCATTTTAGTTTGAGGTGTTCCTGCGGTTGCATGTCACAAGCAATGGCAGCTAATGTCAATTAGAGAGGTAATAGTAGCAGAGGTAGACTACACTTCCAAATGTCACTGATTATTAACAGTGGGGAGGAAGGAGAGGAAAAGGGAAATTGGAGTTGGAGAGGGCATATATCTGGGTAATGTGAACTCCTTTTTAAGGTTATATATTGTCAGGTGTTATCAGGAATATAGTGGAGTAGAGGAGGAAGATTAAATAGGTATTAGTGGGCACATTTTGTAGATAACGCTTGTATTACTTCATGGCCAGAAAAAGCATTTTTAGCATCCTTTATTGATGAGAGAGAGCCATTTAACATCCTATAAAAAAAAGAAAAAAGTAATGAACGCATGAGATTTCACACGCTCAAAGTCACTTTGCCTCTTTACCGCCTTATGAGGTATAGCGTGTTTAATCATATGCAGGGCTGGAGGCTTTAAAACTGGGCCGTTCTCAAAGACTTGCATTTTTGAGTGTGTGTGTGGTACAGGAGCCTCTCTCTGCACTTCCTTTCTGTTTCTCCAAAGACATCAGAAGATTTTAATGTAAGCCTCAACACAGTTAGTGAGAGTAGTATCTTTAGATACATCCACCTGTGCCTGGCTGTGTGAGAGATAGAAGGTAGGGAAGAAAATGCAAGGATGCTAAGAGCTCCTCTCTTTTTCTTGTTTGATAGCCCATATTTGTATTATATTTTAATTATTCTGCCGATTTGATGCGTTAAAAATGCATATCCTTAAAAGCTCTTAAAAACAGATGCCCAGATGTTCTGGTCTAGTGTTATGTATAAATCTGTATTATTTAAAATTGACGAATTAACTCATCTGGTTTAATCAACCTTTTGGCACGTACAGATGAAAACTTGGACTGCAAAGGGGATTGGCAGCAAGCCCTGGGAGCTGAGCCTGTTTAAGATAGGCCTCATTAGACAAAATTTTTAAAGGTAAGATAAAGAAAGATAGTTAAATGCACGTCTTCACAAAGCTATTACAAGTGTTATTTCTCAAGGACATAGGCAATATGAAATAAATCTTAACAATAGCGATTTCAAATGGTAAAGGACTTTGTACATATAATAATGCTTGAGACTCTTTCTTCAAGGAAGTTTAGATAATAAAGGACTGTTTTTCAAGACTGTCCTGAAAAGGTGAAGTTACAGACCTGTAATTCCTTCCTGCGGGCACAGTACACATAGAAGAGGGAAAGACATGGCTGTGAGACTGTACGTGACCTATACAGGGAGAGCCCAGGGATTGCCAGTATGCTCCTGACAAGACTGAAATGTGTTGAAAGCTTTGTTAAACACAGAGGCATTAAGTGAGCTGTGTTTTAACCTTGGTATGGCTTTGACTGTGAAGATATGCTTGCTGTGTTGTGGTTTCCTTGCTTTTTAAAGGCATGGTCCAGCGTCACGTTGACATCTGAATAACAACCTTCATGGCAAAATAGATTTTTATTGTCTCTTTTCTGCCAGAGCACTGGGAATTGACAAGTTCCTGTTTATCTGCAACTAAAAATGGATGGGCAGAAAAAGAGTCAAGACTTGAACAAAATTTTACAGTAAAAATGTTATGCCAAAGACTGTACTAAGAGTACTGGTCAGTGAAGGTCATTCTGCTACAGATACAATCATAGAATCATAAAGGTAGGAAAAGACTTTCAAGATCATTGAGTCCAACCATTTTACATATATATATTTATATCCAATTATATATATTCATATTGAGATCAGAGTTTTATGGAGCAGGTTCCTTGCAAGTCCTAAGCTAAATGGAACCCACGTGCCTCACAAAATACTGAGTTGAGGAACAAGTATAGCAGTTTGGCACTCTCTAAAGATGATCTCTACCTGGGGTGGTGAACCCCAGCTCTGTTCTCTGTCAGTCTTCTTGGTGGATGTTTTCCTTCTTCAAGCAAGTTGTCAGAGCAGGAACCATGAAGGGTCCATCTGTCTTGAGCAGAAGGTGAAATGGGGGATGTTATACAACAGTGGGCAAGGAGAATGAGATCTCAGTAATCGCACAGCCGTTTTCCATCGTAGCCTTCAGCTAGCTGTGAACTCCATCAAAGACAGATCCTCTGCTTTTTTTTTTTCTTCTCTAGGACATCCTCAAGGTGATATACTGGTAGTGTTTTGGTAGCCGTATTGCAAAGGATACACACTTTAAGTCATATATGCCATATCAACAGGATGCATGACTCGGTTTGGTTTGGACCGAGCAAACCTGTGTATGTGCAGAAGAGATTAAAAGTGGCTCTTGGTTGCATGGTCACTTTTAACTTGCACTTGTGCAAGATCAGTGTAGAATTCTACCCTGCTGAAAGAAAAATAAAAAGAAATCATAAGGTCCTGGGCAATAGGAAAATAAGCACCTACGTCTCCTTATTATGCCAGGTTAGTCTGTGGTGCTCATTGTGCAATATAAGGAATGTCTGGTGTGGAAAATGTTATTTAAGAATTTTCCTGGAACATTCTTAATTAATAGTTTCAGTGGCCAGATAAACATTCTGCCCCTGTTGGTTGATACTTTATGTGTAGTGTTTCATTAAATATGTCTTCATGTATCTTCATTAAATCATTTATCTAAGTGATGCTAATTGAGATTAGCATTTCTTGGTATCCTATGTTTCAGTTAAGTGTTTTAAGCAAATAATGTCCTTCTTCCCAGAAATAATTAAAAACTCCATTGTTCAAACCATAAAAATTAGAAAAAGAATGATTTTTATATAATGATGCTATACAAGCCTGGGATCTGAATGCATAATTTAGGCTGCAGAATTCAGACGATGAGAGATATGCATAATCTAGAATTGTGAATAACATCAAGATTTATTGAAATGTTTAGCATTGGCCTGTGTTCTTTGGAAAATCATACTGCTTTTGTTTAGGGATGATGAAAATGATTTTTTTTTTAGATTTTATTGGCAGAATCCAGAGAGCTGCAGAGGAAGAGCTCGGGGTAAGTGTTCTGTGACAGCTAACAAGAAGGAAGATGGAAGCCAAGGTATGGCACAGGCGCTGGGAGGGACATAGCAGTGAGGGACAATATCCAGCATAGGAGGGGCGAGGGTAGGACAATGCTGTGCTGCGATAAAAGAGAGATGGACATATTCTCATGAAGTGAAATATAGTGTCTACAACAAGCCAACATCAAATGCAAGATACTAGATGCAAGGTAGTTCATTGGTTTGACGCTTTCCTTCCCCTTTTCCCTTTATTATTATGATTAATAATCATATATTAATAGCTCATATGGGGCGTTGGCCATTTCTTTTCTGGAAATCAGTTTTTACTGTGTCTTTTTCTTCCATCACATCAAAGAAGCAATCATCTCAGACATTTGAATGACTTACATCTTAGTGAGCCAGATCACCTGTGACTCCTTGATAAACTGGAACAGTGAATCTTTGCAGGTGAAAGTAAAGGGCAGGGTGCCATATACTCAATCCATTAAGTGAACAGAAGTACTTTAGATTTCAGGGTCTGAGTTCTTCTGAACTTGTGAAAAATAAAATATATCTTTGAGTTTTTTTTTTTTTTCTCATGGTAGCTATGAATGATTGTTTTTACATTTGACTAACAAGTCTGAAGTGTATCATACATCATGTTTAAAGGATAGAGGTTTGAAACTCCTAAAACATTACTAGGTACTTAATTGCTAGTTGTGATGAAATATGATAAGATGGCAAGCTCCGTGGAAATATCCTTAAGGGGACCCATAGTTTTGCGTGTCCCGAGTTTGAGTTGGAACTGCATATTGAATGAGAAGAATACACGACATTCTGAAAAGCTAACACTGCACTAAATCAGGTAGGGCTGTGGCAGAAAAG